TGACACACACACACACACACACAAACCCTTATGCAACTACACCCAAACATAAACACTGATTGCTGTGCTTGGCTGCTCCTGTCTCGGAGTCTGTTTGATGAAATCACCTGCTGGCTCAATGCTGTGCCACCTGGTTGATTTCACAGGAAAAGTCTTTGACCGGTTCAGCAGGCATCCCTGAGTACATCTCGCAAAGGGTAAGATTAGGGTTACAGCTATTAGAGGGGTCCTGTCTGTGATAAGGGTAAAATTTGGGGGGCTCCTCTGTTCAGCCTATTCATCCAGATACCACAAAAGGCATTCTTATCCAGCTACGCCTGTTTCAAAATGCTTGAAAGGATAGATCACAGTAGGGCTGGGAAAAAGAAATCAAATTGCAATTTTTCTGATAAAAAAAAGAAAAAGGTTTGCTTGTTTGCAAGACTGCGCAATTTGGCCAAACATTTTGTGACTTTATACCAATGACGACTATAAAATATTAAATAACAAATGTATCATACGACTTTATATCAATAATATGACTATAAAAGATTAAAATAACTAATATTTCACAGTAAAATATAAATTAAAAATAATAGTTTTATTTTTACAGTACAACTGTAAAATTACTTTACTAATATTTACAAATATACATTTAGAATTTCAACAGATACTACAAATAAAAAAAATATTTGGCAATACTTTAGTTTAACGACCAATTCTCACTTTTAACTAGTTGCGTATTAGCATGCATATTACTAATGTATTGGCTTTTTAGTAGTAGTAATAAAGCAAATATTAATGCCTTATTCTAAATGACCATATTTTAGATCCCTTAATCCGACCCCATGCCTAAACTTAACAACTTCCTTACCTTTACTTCCAGCAAATTGTGAGTTTATTGGGGCAAAAGTCATAGTTAATAGTGAGAATTGGTCCCCAAACTAAAGTGTGACCAAATATTTAATATTGGACAGCAACTGATATGGTACCGATGTATTGTGCATCGTTAACAGTAAGAATTTTCTCATGTACAAACTGGGCTAAGTTAAATATATCTGGGTCACCATATGACCATAAAAACGGCAGTAAATACAAACAAAATGTATTCTCATTTGCATGAACATGCTATATATCTGCATTATAAATATTCAAAGCAATGGCATTCATCCCTTTCCACAGAGTTCACACTAAACCACGAACTGCAAGTAACAGCATTGCAGATTCTGTCACAACACCTATTTCCACAAGAGTTCAGGAAAATACAAGATAAGTCAGCCTTAGGTAAGATAAAAGGAATTTGTCAGGTTCAAACCGTCTTCGTAGTAGCGATGGATGTTACTTCAGGAATCAATGAGCTCAGGCAGAAGGACAGGTCTTTACACGTGTGCATAAACAAATTACATCAAATAGTGTTTGGGTGTCACGTTCTGATAATTGCACAACAATAAACAGAACAAGCTGGAATGCTCAGTTAACATATAACAACTAGCAGTTTGGATCTTTAGAACAGTAGCTAGCTCAGACTCTTGACTGACCTACCACAAAACTACTAGTGTTTCGGATCCCTCTGTTTCATCCTAAATTTAAGTTTCATTGTCTAAAATGGCTGTTTGTGTGGAAGAAGTGTTCTGTTTTGCTGATGCTGCTGTTCTTACATTGTTTTATTTAGCTCCATGCATATCTGTTGCACTAGTGACTTTATCTTAACCTTGTTTTTCCTCATTAAAAGAGGATTTGTTTCACATGAGCCTTTAGGACATCCTGTTCCCAACACACACAACTTTTCTGTCGGTTTTCTGCACTCTGGATAGTTCCATGAATGCATAGATTTTTAGAATAAAGGTTGAAAATTAATTAAATTGGAATTTCTATTCTGATTTTAGAAGATACAGTGGCCTCAAGAAGTATTTAGACTAGTTCAATAGTTCAATAATGAAAATCTGCTGATAATTTACTGACCCTTGTGCATCCAAGATGTAGATGAGTTTGTTTCTTCTTCGGAACAGATTTAGAGAACTTTACATCGCTTGCTCACCACCGGATCCTCTGCAGTGAATGGGTGCCATCAGAATAAGAGTCCAAACAGCTGATAAAAACATCACAATAACCCACAAGTATTCCAAACAACCCCAGTCCATCAATTAATGACTTGTGAGGTGAAAAGTTGCATGTTTGTAAGAAACAAATCCATCAGGGCGTTTTAACTTTAAACTGCAAGTGATGATAAAACAAATGATGCTAGAGCTTTTCTCAGAACAAACTTTTCTTAGTCACTTTGGCAATGACTTTTAATCAAGTGATCTCAAAGTGATTTTGCAATGACTTCCATTTAAGTGTAGCTTATGTGCCCACTACTTTTTGGGTTCATTGTATGTTCGCTCTAATTGGTGTCTGAAGGACACTCTGTTTGGTTAAGTTGTTAAGTGCTGAGGGACTAAAGTCTTATCTATGAATCACAGGAAGATACAGAAATCAGACACAGCCTCCATTGTGTCTGCAATCGCTAACACTGGAATCTCAACAGAGTCCTTTTCTCATATCCTGTTTTTACAGAAACACTAAGCACTGCCTTCTAAACCAATCACAGGGCAAACACAGCGAGAAAGAGACCGAGATGGACAGAAAGTATTAAAAGCACTTAAAATGCGCTGAGGGAACAACTGCTCTTTCGCTTATCAGATGACCTTATGTAGGTCACACACACCACATGTGCTTACATCCAACAGAAAACAGACAGATGGCATTAGGGCAGGGGTGTCCAAACTCAGTCCTGGAGGGCCGGTGTCCTGCACAGTTTAGCTCCAACTTGTCTCACACACCTGCCTGGAAGTTTCTAGTATGCATAGTAAGACCTTGATTAGCTGGTTCAGGTGCGTTTAATTGGGGTTAGAGCTAAACTTTTTCCCGAACAGTGGCCCTCCAGGAACAGGATTATACACCCCTGCATTAGGGGGTTCATTCAGGAGTTCCTCCGCTCCCTTTTCTAAGTTTGATCAAAATAAAAAACAATACATTTCCTTTTACTCTTCAACAAAGCATTCATTATCTCTGTGCTCACACGTTCTGGGGATTAGTTTGTTTGAATGTGCTTATTACAAGCCATTCATTTACAGATACTTTACTAAAAGAACAAAACAAGTCCTTAAGTTACTTTTACTGTTATTTAGACAAAAAATTTAAATGTGGGACAAAACTTGCTACTGATTCAACTTGTGTTGAGTTTACAGTCAACACAAGAGTTATTTCCCAAGCAATGTGACCTTTGAGGATGTCATGTGACCTTTAAAATGACAAATCTTCCACTGTGCACATCCTCTTCTTTTAGCTCCTCAATCTGTACTGTGCATAAGAATTCCAACTGTCTTCACGAGTTGTTATTTGACCTTGTTTGGCCAATACCTAGATGGCAACACTGAAATACAGAGCAAGAGTTTCACAAAGTACTGCACATCAGTGAACAGCTTGTCTCTTAAGAACTTTTCTTCCATCCTCGTGGTGACCTAGATTCAAAGTTTGAAAGGACTGGGACATTAGTCCAATCCCAGCAGACACAAGCCCTAGTTTAATATGTCCTCTAAAAGATATGCTGAATGAAAAAAATGCTGAACCCAAAAACAGTCTGGACTGACAACATGTCGTCTCTACTTCAAAAGCCTTTGGCCTTTACAAAACACTAAGGCTGTGACTGTAAAATTATACACAGTATAAAGATGTTGCATTGATACTTGCTTCAACATATTTTTAAATTTGTGCAATGATTTATGTAATTTTCTATAGATCAATTAAAGCTGAAGTGTGTAATTTCTCCACCGCTAGCGTCTCTAAACAACATAGAAATATTTGAAACTATTGTGCAGTTTCTCTATCTTGTTTGTGTTTGCTGCAGTTTCAATCATGATTTAATTATCATATCCTGACGCATCACAAAGTATTGAATCGACATGAATCTGGTCATAACAGGGCTTCGGACTGCAAGTGAAATGGTTGCAAATACAAATGCAAATCTCAAACGGTGACTTTGATTATGTATAATAAAACTGATTCTATAATTTCACTACTAAAAAAAGAAAACCAGGCTCACTTGACAAACGTGCTTGTGGTGAGATTTCTGCTAAATTATATTACATTGCTTTTTACATGTTGCACGACACTTTTAAAGTGAAATGTCCAGTGAGTGGTGCTAAAAGGAAACATACCACCTACACTAAACCTAATCAACAGTGTTAACAAAAGCAAACGGGAGATAAAAACACATTTGTTGAAGCAATCACGCAATTTTAGCTTGCTTACAAGTCTTTGAGCTCTTTGTTACAGGTGAACAAGTTTACTACATCTGAAAAGCCATGCATGGCTGGTTATGCAATGCAAATGGAAAAAAAGTATTTGTTATTCGATAATCTTTTTCCTGTATTTATAAGTTATGTGAGAAGAAACTACCTTTTCATTTCAGCTAGAAACTGCAGTGAGTTGTACGTATTGGTACATTTTTGGAATTTTGCAGAAAGGCTGAAAAACAGTCAGTTTGGCTCCTAAATTTTTCATTTTATAAGCCAATGGCACCTGGAGACCTGCAGAAGGTAGTTGGCAATATACAACTCTACTAAACACCATTTCATCCATCTGTCAGCTACAGTCATTGAATTACAAGGAACCAGATAGTTCTAATAAGACAAATACTCATTAGGAACGATATAGTGTCTGATATAGTGGGGAAAGCCAGCAAGACGTTCGCCTCAAATTAAACCCACTTGATCTCACTTCAGTCGAAGAGGAACTGAAACTGTAATAAAAACCCACTCTGGTGTTAGAGCTGCCGTGAAAGCAGTGATCAGACACCTGGGCTCAGATATGTTTGATTATATGTGTTAGGAACCATTTCGCAAACTACAGGGTGTGATGAAGACTCCTCCCATCATGGAACTGACAGATTCTTCATCATCTGCTTCTGACAGATTGGACCTTGGGAACACACACACACACAAATACAGAAAAACTTGTATTTAAAAGCCAGTAGTCACCTCTGATTTAGCCGCCGCTCATCGTCACTTCCAAAGTCCTGGGAAAATAAAAAGAAAGTGTGAGAGAAACAGAAGTTAGTCATCTAAAACAATAGATCACCAAGACATGTCCACACTGTTTTATTTAATTTTATTGCTTCGAGCCTTAAGATAAAGAATAGAGCAGGATGTAGGATTTTCTGATGTAATAAATCTAATTATGTCTTCACGCATCTTCTACCTAAACCAAATTATAAGTTATAAATTCAGCATCTGTTGTGAAAATGTCAGCAGAATTCTGGAATAAATAATGGAGAGGCCAGAATCCCTCAGGCCTCGGAACTTTTCCAAATTCCACAACCTCACCCGACTCAAACCCAGCAACAATCTGGCCTAAACATTGTTCTTTCCCCCACATGATCGCTCTCTTGCTCTCTTTCTCTGCTAAATGTGTAACCTTTAAGCACAATACAAGACCTATGTGTCCCAAATAACAAAAAAGCTTTGATGTATCACTATTCACAGCAGCGTAATATGACAAAGAAGAAAACATGAAGAATGGGGCCTCTTCTTAAGATAAGGTTTCATTATAACAAAGAGTGTTTTTAAAATAGTTCTTCACTGTATGTGAATGTGACGGCCCTGATTATTAGGTTACTGATAGTGGTATATAGCACTAAATGAAGGCCGGGGAGTGTGCCATGGTCAGATGTGGCAGATGCCTGAAGGCGACGAAACCGTGTCAGGGGAATTGGCTGTGCCAGGGTTTCTGTCACGTACCAAAAGCTGTCACTTCATGCAGAAGCTGGGCTAATAAAACTTTATAAGCAGGGCAGAATGAGGAGTGGAAACAATGAAGTTTGTGAACAGAAACAGAGGTTTTAAAAGCATGAGGCTTCTCTGTGATTTATAACATACTAAGAGGATGAACAGATTGATAGCACTAGGCGAAAGGTGAAAAATAAGAAGGTAGAAGTCAATACTGCGGCTCAGCATTCAAATATGCACGATCATCCTAAAAAAACAGTACAACACAACCAAGAAGTTTTTTTTTTTATACATTTTTATACATTTTATAGAGCACAGAAAACTAAAAGACTTTCTTGACTGTTGTCATTGCTTACCTCATTGCACAAGCCAATGATGTGCTGTCGTCAGTTGATGATCATGTGCAATTTTTCTTCATTATTTAATTTTCTATATTATTCAAAAAAACTAAAACATATTTTTTGGAGGTACCTCAATTGGGATACTGAAGAGTTCAATTAAATGTTCATGGTGTATTATTTTGGTTGCATTCGTGAGTTATTAAATATAAGGTAACACTTTATTTTAAGGACCAATTCTCACTATTAACTAGTTGCTTACTAGCATGCATATTAGGGCTGTTTATTAGTATCTATAAAACACATAGTGATGCCTTATTCTGCATGACCATATTTTAGATCCCTTAATCTTACCCCATACTACTTTATTAGCTATTAATAAGCAGCAAATTAGGAGTTCGTTCAGAGAAAACTGTCACATATTCAGTTAACAGTGAATATGTGTTCCCTATTCTAAAGTGTTACCAAATATAACTGGTTGTGTAAAATAAGCACATAATATTGTATTGTAAGTTTTATGTGTCCTATCTTGCATGAGCTGTAATGACTCAACTTATTACTTAAACATCGGTTCTATTTGTGACTAAATGATTAAGAATAGTTCTGTGAACTGGATCAACAGATTAGACACAAAGCTATTAAATTCCACGGTTTCAGAAAATTGGTAAAGCTAGAGTCATATGGACCACTACTATAATACTTTTATGTTTTTTTGTCACAAATGTCCCTTCAGTGTTACAGGGAAGAAAGAAGGTCATACAGATTTGGTACGACATGAGGGCGAGTAAACAGTGACAGCATTTTCATTTTTATGTGAACTAATCATTTAAGAAAGCAAAGAGGGTCAATTTTGGTTTCATGTTAAATTTAACCCAAATACCACACAAAGCTTCTGCAGATTTTTACCCTTGGAACCTTAAAACCACTATTCCTCTTTAACGAGTATTCGTTTTACATCACTGTCTCTTGTTACCTCTCTACCCATCCTCTCTATCAGTCTATCCATCCCTCTCTTTCAGTCTCTGCATGAGATGACATCACTGCAGCTGCATGTTCCCCAGTCCTCATGTTTGAGGTTGTGATGTGAATTCTAAATAGTGTGTGTCCTCACTAGCGTAGCACATTATGCAATTATTCTTAAGGCCTGTTCACACCAAGAACAATAAAGATAACTATAACGATAGCTACATTAGCATCCACACACCAACGTATGATAACATTCTGTTTATTTTAAGCATGTGCTGCAGTTTTGTCATCTGCCGCTTTAAATACTCAAGCTCTTTATGGACTCTGATCTGCCGTCAATGGTTTTATCATTCATCAGCTGCACAAAATCGTTCTGCACATGATTCCAATGTTATCATTCTTCTGTGGCATTACCATTATAGCTGTGATGCGGATTCTGTTTTCTTTTAAATTGAGAATGCTTTTTATAACCATATCTTTATTGCTATTGTTAGTTATCGTCCTTTGTGTGAACGGACCTTTATATTTAACCACAATATAGATTTAAACATTAAAGATCTAAACCTAATTGGTTAGGTTTTAATCCAACTAAGAAGCAAAAGACAACATTTCCTAAATGTTTCAAGAACATTCATAATCTGACCCTGTTACTGTTACAGAAACACAATTTAAATATGATTTATAACCTGAACTGTGTGTATATGATAATAATAGTACTCAAATATCTAAAATTCATTATGTTCACTGTTCTTTGTGCTCTCTCATTCAAATGTGTAAAGCCAGCGCCCCCTACTGGGTATAAATGGATTTCTAAGGCAACTATGATGTCAAAGAAACCATTATGAAGGTGGGGTGCTTTCATGGAGGAAAGACAATTAACGCCTACAAGAAAATTACTTTTCAAAACCACCACCTGAGAATCACTAACAATGAAAAGCAATACAGCTCTCCTAGTGAGACTGGCTAAAAGGGTCTCGCTCCTAATGAAAAGGTAAAAACAGGAGGCCTTTCATCACATGAGAGGAGCTTAGCTGTGCCAGGGAACAATGACTTAGATTGAAATGTCTGTTGAGCAGAAATGCAGGATAGCCCATGACTGAAAAGCACCCAACATTTTTGACAGTTCCCCTTTTAAAACAGCTTGAGCGAATGAATGGAAACACACAGTCCAACACAATATCATGAGGTACATGCAAACAAACTTCTCCCTGTACTACTACTACATACAATGACAGGAACAACATTTCAATGATAGTTTCAATATAAATAAATAAAAACAAAATGTAGTTGCATACACATCTTGCCATTTAAAAGTTCACTCAGTAAGTTTCTGTTTAAGTTTAGCTGGTTCCTATCCATCCTACCAATAACAACTGATACATTGTGTCTGTATATAATATATAAACTGTGTTTGTTTTGTTTAGATGTACTTTTGTGTTTATTTTTTAATGAAATTGTGGAAAAAAAGATGAACAACAGTTTGTAAATAAAGCTTCAAACAGTCTTGAAAAATTTCAAGCGATGCTGTATATTCATGAACAGTAACAATACTATTCAGAACAGGATAGAGATAATGGAAAGAAGAGAACAAAGAAAAAAACAACATGGTATTAACATTACAGATATTATTCACAGTAGATAAAAGGTGTCATCACAGCCCAAAAGAAAAAGGTAAATTTCTTATTATTAAGTGAAAAATGAAAAAAAAAAATAAATAAAATAAAAAACTAACACTTGCTTTTTAATCTTTTTGTATTCTATCCGTTTTCTTTTCATTTATTATACAATTAACAAAAGTAACAAAGATCTCTAACACTAGCTTGCTCTATTATTTTTCTATTCTATCTGTTTTCTTTTTATTTATTACATTATTTAAAAAAAAACCTTACTACGTGTACTGCGTTAAGCTAACTGAGACTTGTTATAGCACTTGTATGTCATTGCTCTTTTGTTGATTTTGATTGCTTCCATTGTCCTCATTTGTAATCATTAAATGTAAATGTAAATGTAAGTGACTTTCAAGTTACATTTTAAATAAGAATTCTACAAACACTGGTAATTTTTAAGAAAAATTTTAAAGAGTTTGTTAACTTTAAAAAAAAAAACATTCCTAATACAAAGTACATCATTTGTATTACTTTAATGTTTATGCTTTGCAAAGCACACTGACGCACTCAGCTGAATGACACGCCTGGTCACGTGATGTCAACATTGCTGCGATACTGAAGGGACTAGTCGCTCTATATCAAATAAAACAGTATTTTATGGACGGTTGATATGTCTTAAGTTTTCATTTTCTGTGGGTGTACATAATTGTAAATTAGATTTTTCCCAAAAGTGTCATTCATTTATCTATATACCGTTTTAGCAAAACATACCGAGTGCACCTTTAAGGCTTGGCATGTTATTATGAATAATCCTTAGTTAAACCAGTATCTGTACCAAACAAAACAGTGTTTTTGTGGTTTGTTCACTAAAACTAGACACATTCTTTCGCAATCGTTAAACCACAAATTGCAGGACAGCCTGTAAACAAGCCATTAGCTCAATGAAGTACAACAGCCCTGTTAAACACTTTCTCCTGGCAACAGTATTCAACTCAAATGGGGAAGTCGTGGCCTAATGGTTAGAGTCGGACTCGTAACCCAAAGGTTGCGGGTTCGAGTCTCGTACCGGCAGGGATTGTAGGTGGGGGGAGTGAATGTACAGCGCTCTCTCCCACCTTCAATACCACGACTGAGGTGCCCTTGAGCAAGGCACCGAACCCCCAACTGCTCCCCGGGCGCCGCAGCATAAATGGCTGCCCACTGCTCCGGGTGTGTGTTCACTGCTGTGTGTTTGCACGTAGGATGGGTTAAATGCAGAGCACTAATTCCTAGTATGGGTCACCATACTTGGCCACATGTCACGTCACCAGTCACCAAATGCATCACCCCTAAGCCTGAACCATAAACACGGTCTACCAGCAGAGATTAAGCACCATCACAAAACACACAAGATAATCAAGTAAAACTTCAGAACATAAATCAAGATTTGTATTTATGCCATGTATAGTGCATAATACGCCCAAAGGCAGTGACACAGCGTCCAAGCCTGATGGCATCCCGCTAGCTAGCTCTACAGTCTGAGCTGTATTAGCATTAGGCCTACGTGACTCATATGGGTCCTGTTGTGTTTTAATTAATCATTACATCATCATATCTCATCTCAGCGTGTTTATTTCCGCTTACCTCTCCCGCGTTGGTGGTGGCGGTGCTGGAAGTGGACGCCGCGCTGGGAGTGGGCGAGCGCTGCAGGGTTACCAGAGCCATGGATGAAATCTCCCAGCACAACGGCCAGTCTATCTGTCACGAGCGAAACCGACCAGCGGGATTTTCCCCTAGCAGCAGCGCCAGATATACGGGGATTGCGCTGCGACTCCACGCGCTCGAAGGGACTGCTGTTAAAAGGCCATGGCTGAGCCGCTGTTCGGCGTTTTTTGTGTTGCTGATTCCGTTTTGACATGAGCTGGATGATATTTTGGTGCTTCTCACTCTCACCCACTGCCGCATGTGGCTGAAACTCAGACTACTGCTGCTGCTTTCAGCTCATACATCCTATAGTGTTGTTTCTGTTGTGAACGAATCAGTGTTTGTGAATGAATCTTTTAAGTGAACGATTCACTTCCATATTTTTCGGTCGCCGAGTCCCTCCCTTTCAAAGCGCGTGACCGCTTTTCTGCCTTCAAAGACTGGCTATAGTATGGACAAATAGCATTCGAGTATGGGCTGTGTAGAAGCATATCATTGGTTGAACTTACTGAACAAACACGCCCTTCACTGAACGAGTCAGTGTTTTGAATCTGAACGAGGCATTTCGTTGGACATTTGGGAGTCTGCTAGTACCTCTTGTATGTGGAAAAGTAAGGATGTTATTCAGGCTGTAGTGCTACCATTGTTGTTTTTATAACTTGATAAAAGCCATGCCATGCATTTGACAAAATGAATGTACAGTGGTAGATTTCCAACTGTGGAAAAAACGTCTGGAGTGTTTCTGGAGTATTTGTAGAGGTCGTGCTTAAAGAATGTTGCCGCCGCAAACGACTCAGCCGAATAACGAATCGGTTGAATGGTTGATTCAACAACTTCAGTGATTCAGCTGTTTTTCATTCATTCAT